ATTACGCACCTAATCTTCTTGCTTGGTAGTCTGTACAGTTACTCGCTGATGAGACTTCTCCATAAATCTTACGTCCAGGCATCCATGCCTCGATATCGATCTTACGAGCTGCAGGTGCTCCCAGCTCTTCTGTTGGCATTTCCAACTGTCTAAAAATTTGTATATGGAGGATACAGCAGCTTTTCTCTAGCTAATAATTCTCGTGCATATGTGTATGTGCATAATTATGTGTATGGATATTTGTAGGTGTATTTTATGAATATGAGGTACATGTGTGTATATATTGTGTGCACATTGTTAAGTATGCAAATGCATATGTGTCTGTATGTCTATCTGTCTCTGTATCTGTTTTATGTGCCAAATACGAATTTTTGCTTCTAAACCAATCCTCATCAAATCACACATGTACAATGTTACACTACGGGTAAAATAGGCACCTTCTCCGAAAAATATCGAGTTACTGTTCCTTCATTTGCACACTTCGCTCTGGACTGATGGTGTTGGTACACAAAGGTAAGGTGGCATGTTGATTACGAATGTATACGCTGATTATGAAGATGGCATCCATCGGAATAATACCTACTACTTCTTTTAAATAGTTGATTTTCATCTTTCTTGTAATAGCCCACTAGCAATTAAACCATTTAGGACGCGCCACCCACAGGTCACGCATTTTTGGATGCGTGGTCTCTTGTGGCCCACGGTCGGGCACAATTCGCGCATTTGAGTGCGTTTGGTCGGGTGTATGACTTTATGAGATAGCTCCAACTACCGTGGTGGGCGTAGGTGCGCCTAACTTCTGCAAGGTTTACCGTGCTTTCAACCCATTATCGTTATTGAATTGAACTGTAAATGTCGACTTAGTTCAAAACCAAACATTGGGAAAATTCTTTTTGAAACAAATATATTGCAGGGTATGTACAGAACATCTTCTACACTATCTGCACTAAGGGAAAGCGTTATATATAAGCTTGAGAAAGCCCATAGAATAACCTTGACCAAATTTCTGCTGAAATATGTTGTTTTGGCCACTACATTTATCGTAGGTTTTGCAAGCTTAAAGAAAGTACCACTAGAATAGAAAGTACCACTGAATAGAGCGAATTAGCT